ACATCCACAAATCATTGTTTTGCCCTGATGCTAAATGTACAGGAGGACCAAAGTTATTCCAGATCACTTGTAAGGAACGTTATTTGCACAAAGGCCGATTTAAAGAACTATCCTAATTTACGCCATAAGTCGATGGATAAAACAACTTTAATTTTAATTTACTTGCGTGTTTACATCATGAACATGATTGGTATTAATCAGCAAACAAATTTATGAAACTAATGATGCTCATTTGTCACCAGCTTTACAATATGCAAGCTTACGTCAGTCAGCTGAATTGCCATGAAATAACCGCAGCATTAAAAGTGGGGATACATACAAAATCTCACCTGGTGTAAAGGCCTGTGGTGTTTCAGGTGTCTCATACCAGAACCTGTCACCCTTTTTGAGTCTGACGAACTGGTCCGTCACCAGACACGTGATGGTGGGACCCAAGAAACCCCCCTCCAGGGGTTTTTCAGCCATTCCCCCTATGTACAGGTCAATGTCACTCACAGATCTGCAAAAATCATTCATCTGATGACCATGCAGAACTGTACTCAATTTTCTACTGTGGTTAACCTGAAAATTAATACTTCATAGTTCATTTGTCAGTTGCGTGACTCAAGTCTTTGTGGCAGAATGTCGTACTACTTGCCTGTATAATTCATTCAGCTTCATCAGAGAGTCGCTGTCCATAAAGCCTTGCATGTCGCTGAAAGTTTGCGGACGTGAGAGACCGCAGCGCTCTCTCCAGGCAGTGTATGTTGGCAGCCCATGGTCCCTGCCCCTCTGTATATTCAGGGACACTAGATCGAGTCCACATGGTGCCCCATGGGGAGCAGCAGAGGGTGTTTCTTGCTCAAACAGGTGCTCAGTCAGCTGCAGTGCATGAAAGATTTTTCTGATTTTATTCTGTGAATTTTTTTTTCCTTCAAAATACTAAAAATAATGATTCAGTCTCATGTAAGATTGTTGGGGTCGTTAAATCAAGGTGTTGTTTTATTACATTTTATTAAAGTTTAAATATTAGTAGCAACATTTCGGATCAAAAGTTTGGACAGACTTTGCCACCTCTTTGCTGACGACAGTCTTGACTTGGGTGTTCAAGGTTCCTGTAATCACGCCATCCAGGAGACCAGGTGTGTACAAGCTGTACGGGTTGAACAACATGCGGTGCAGCTCCACATATTCCTCCGTGCCGTTCACCAACATCTTTACGAGACCCTGCGGAAGTCAAGAGGTTCCAGTTTCAGCTGCGCCGTGCCACGCCGGCCTTATACAATTACATCATCAGTTATTATGCATCACGAACTCTTTTTTTCTAGTTTGGAATTATTTCTGAAGTAATGAAGCCTGTGGACACTATCTGTGATGCCTTGAATGGCGCATTGTCCCACGGCAAGCTTGTGTCTTGTACAGGGGGCATTGATTTGCGCTGTCCCAGTGTCTGATGTTGCTTGGCTGCCATTGGACCAAAGGAAATGTGAAGGGACAGGGGTTTTTGTTAATGTTTCACTCACCGGCAGCAGCGTGTGCCCAAACCTGAATGCGGCTGCTGCAAAGCTGTTCGCGATGGAAGCATCCACCGATTTGTTGTAACCGTGAAAATAACCAGAGGGTTGTGGATGCAAATCCAGGCGGGACATGAGTTGACCTCCTGTAAATACGAATCGCACCTTGGAGGAGTGTAAGGTGCACGGACGTGAAGTTCATGCTTTCTAGATCTTGGCATTAGATGGAGGTGAGTTATCAGCGCTGGGTCGAAAGAATTGTGCAAATAAATATGTCAGACCCACAGTAAGTTTCTGTAATTATGATTGGATGAAAAGGGAAAGGAAGAAAAATATGCCCTCAGTTTTACCAACCTAGGAGTATTGGGAGGAACTCTGAATATGTGATGTGCTGCAACTGTGCCACAACGATGCGTCGGGCCTCTTGAAACACGCGTTCGTCATCCCAGGACGGATTGAGCTCATTTAGCCAGTCTGCTACCAGATTGTGCTGGCGGGCCCACAACAGGTGCATTGTTGTCAGGTGCAAGTTTTCATTGGCTCGTGCGTCCCCTGGCAGGAAGAACATGTTAGTTACGCACAACCATTTGTTAAGGACGAACCAGACACTTTGTACTTCATCTTGGGCAGACCTGTACTCTCCCAGTACCTGAAATGAAGCAGTATCTGCCTTGGGCCATCTCCTGTTTCTGATTACAACCGTCAGATGGATCTGTTGAGTGGGGAAGCAGAGTTCGTCCATCAGGCGTTACAGACATGCGCAATCGTCCACCACTCTTACTGCGCAGCTGTGAGGTCAGACTGAGGCTCGGTCCATACACCACAGAGCCGTCCAGGAATGCGCTCACCTGGTTCAGCTGTTCTCGAGGACCTGCAGTGGTACCAACAAAGTTAGTTTCACATTGAACAGTACGAAATGTGGATTAATAAGTGTCTCGGTTTGGTGTTTCGTTCTGTCCAGTGCATCCGTAGTAGCAGTACCATTTATTTTAAGGTCTAAAAATGTATTTTTTTACGTAAATACGTCTATATTTTAGGGTCAGTGTCATTCGGCAAAAAGTGAAACGAAAAAGTGTAACTGCATTGTTATGTTACCTAGGAAACTTCATCTGTTTATCAACAAATCGACAATAATGGTTACCTAGGAAACGTCGTGTTTACTCGGCACTGTTGTTACCTATAAAACATTACATTACCTTACCTTACATTCAGCTACCACAGAGCCATCTTAAGCGTAACTAATTCAAGTTGAATAAGCAAAGTCTTAATCAAACTTTACTCAATTGTAAAGCATGTATGAGGGAAATATTTAGAATAAAGCCAATCTATAAACTTCCTTTCCGTATAGACGTATTTACGTCAAATTCTCCGGAACCGTAGTTCCACTGACAACTTTTTTAGAACAGCTTAGATTACCTGAGTCGTGATGTCTTTGGTCAGTTGGGGCTGTGCCAGTAATCTATTCGTTTCTTTTAAACACCTCAACACCTTCATAACATTTTTCTGGCATCATCAACCGGTGTAAGAAGAAACTTACGTTGCGTCCTCGCGAACTTACCGAGACTGCAGGTGGGAGCAGGAGCTGAACGCACAAACTCCATGCAGCTGAGGTTGAACTGATGATAGTATGGGTCGGCAGCGGACACCCGAACAGGGAAGCATTCTGGGTGTTGCGGTGTAACCCCGCAACACAAGATGGCATTACCATCCGTATCTGTACGCAGAGTAAAATACGCTTTTTCAACTGAATACATTATTTATTTTTTATGATTATGAATGTTTGGGATTAGGATGTGATGTATTTTAAGGTACATTTACCAGCTAGAACTGTGTGTCACATTAGTTTTTCTGTCATTAATAACTAGGAAATATTCTACTGGTCCATTTGCCCACCTGTGCTTAGCGCAGTAGCTGTGATGTCATGGTCGATGAATTGCCCCCAAACAGCCAGCATCACCGTGAACTTGGGGTCGTCCTTGTACCTTGGTCGACGCATCATGATGCTGACGTCTCTGGCCGATGGCAGAGCGCCGCCGTCAGTTGCCTGTCTTGGTGCCATCACCCCTGGGAAACAAACATGACCAGGGTTTAAGTCTGTGGAAACTTTCGTCTGTTACTGTCATCCTTCGATGATGTTTTATCATCAGCCTGGTCATTAGAGCATAGAAAGGCAGCATTCATAATGTGGAAGGGAGTGATTTTCACCTCATTTATGATAATATTAAAGTATTTTCGTTTAGGGATTGAATAAAACTTTTCAAGATTCGAATCTTACCATCTGCGTAGTCAGGAGACAGACTCCTCCGGAATGGACGCATGGCAATGCCCCACTTGAATGGATGCAGGTGGTTGTTACAGGACCCGTCTGCTGAGCGGAATGGAGTCGATGGACACGGAGTGGATGCTGTATCAGCACATGCTTCTGGAGGCATCCAGTCAGCCTCTACCATGGGGCCTTGCCCCACAGGATCTCTGCTCCCTCTTGGTCTCCACAGACCTCTGCAACAGGGCACAGGCGTGAAGTTATGACGACTGAACTTTACGGTTAATGAATGTGTGACGTACTCTGATGTCACTACCTCGCCGCCAGGTGTCTCATAGCCAGATTCAGCGTGTAACCCGCCCGAGCAAGTCTCGTGGCTTCCGGACCAGTTCTCACTGCCATCTGGTGACGGTAGGAAGGAGAGTTTCTATCCAGGTGGGCTGTGGCTACTTGTGATTTGTCACGATCCTGGAGGCCAGTGTCCAGGGCTTCTTGTAGCTGAGCTGCAGAGAGGGTCTGACCGTACCAGCAAGTCCCGTTTTGTTCTGAAAATGTACCAGGCTTTGTGTCGTCATTGTAGGTTCACTGAAAACATTTTCCTGGATATCACTTTGTTGCGTTTTTCAATGGGGGAGGCTGAGGGGTGCACGTGGAAACAGGGTGCTTACCCGACAGTGGGTAATGGAGAGTGAGAAGCGATACGAGTACGTCATCTGCTGGCTTGTCCGGCGTGCTGCTGTTAACAGCATCATCTGTGTCATTGTCGACAGAGTAGGCCACAGTGCCAATAATCACAACCACAAAGCAGGCCCTGGAACAATTGGGAACCATTGTTAGCATTCTTAAGCGAAAGGACGTTCAACAACTGTGCCAGATTTGAGAGTGTTTTCACTGTAAGGTCTCATCAGCAATGTGGCGTTCAATTAAAACTGAAGTTGGGTAAAGTAGACCGCAACAATGCACATCTGCTGCCCTCTGTTTAACTACTTACAGCACCATTGCGCAGACACAGCATTGGAAGTGACGCACTTTGTTCTTGTACAGTTGACCGGCGTTGAACACGTACTGCGGGTCGTAGTGTGGCGCCGATGAGGCACGCAGGGGCGTGCGTTCCGTCATCTCCTGACGGAAGACCAAAAACAGTTCATGACAACCTTCCAGGCTCGGCCAATGATTTCTCGCGATTCTAATTGCTTTAAGAGAGCTACACGATAATGGAAAAAGGAATTTTGACTTCTGTGTTGTAACACCTGTGAATATATAGGTAAATGCCAATGGTTCGGAAGAACGTACTGGCTCCATCTTCAAGGCTGAAGATGTTTATACGAAACGTTATCTTCCTATAAGTACACGGCGTTACAATCCAGAAGATACATTTTCACCGGAGTAAAACTTTTTATCTTATATTACAAGACGTTAAGGATGATTTGAATCGTGCTGTAGAAGCAAGACCCGGTTTCAGCAACACTAGCCGCTCATTATCGTCATTGTTGCGTCGTCAAAGCATTTCTGTAGCTGATACCTCGACTTGAATTCTTATTGTTGTCGCGTTCTCCACGAGAACCACTTTATATTATTACCTGCTTCAGTACGAATAAATGTCTGGCTTCTGTGTCAACTGACGCTAAATACACCTTTACCTAGCGACTTTATAGAACGTATCGAAATCCGTCTAACCTGAAATATTCATGGTTTTCCAACCAGTGCCAGAATGAAAGATTTCGCTGTTTTCCTTTTCTACATGATGTAATTTGACATTGTTATAATCCGCGGTTTATACACAGAAAAATAAATGAACAGTAACATGAAATTTTCTAAAGTTTTCAGTCCTGTAAAACAAGGCGCGCATGTAAACTGTCTCTTGTTTATACCTCTGGCTTCTCAAAGACGACGACAGACGACCAACCCGTCGCCGCTCGATGCTTTCTTGTTTCTGGGTTGCCCTCGACTGTCGTCTCTGTACGGCTTCCCCACGGCGCACATGAAATCCAACCAATCCCCTTGAGCCCCGGCCTTATTTGCGCAATGCAGACTGCGTGCTGTCTACCCGTTCCTAGCCTGACAGTATTTCATGAGGATGGTAAGTTTAAAAGGTACTTTCCACTTTAATTTTATACGCGTCATTGGCAATTGATGAAACTACCATTAAAAGCAGGTCCAGTAATTACTTTTAATTACCGACGCTTAGCAATGACAAAATGGCGACCCTGGGAACCCAAGAAGCAGCGTAGTATTGTAATAGGTATTTATGTACTGGAAATTTTATTTATGCTATTATATAGGAAAAGTAAACTAATAGAATGATACTAAACGGTATTTTCTTCATCTTAAGACCCCCATCGATTAGTAATTTTTTTGGGGGGGAAAATATGTTACAGTAGGAATTGCCAATATTCAAACATAAAATTTCTTTGGGTTGATACTTTCGGAATCTTCTGTGTTGCCAACTATGTGTTTTATTTTCCCCTGACTTAGTTTTCATGGACATGAAGATTTTTCTTACAATTTAATTTTTCGATGTTCATAGACGCCGTCAAATGTAAGATGCTCCCCCTATTTCGGAAATTTTAAAATGTGAAAAATCGCGTCTTGAAATCGAGGATATATTAAGGTTAATAAATGAAGTGTCACTGGGTTTGCTGCAACTCTGGGGGCCTGAAGCCCTGAAAGTTCAGTGAAGCCACAACTCTGCCCCAGGATCCTTATGAAGTCTCTCGACCAAAATAAGGTTATTATTGTTTGGAAACAAAACGGTCTGGCGAACTACGCGACACGTATTTTTTTTTTCTAAAGAGTCTCCTTGGCGTCACGAAGCCATAAAGTTGTCTCCCTGATGTGATACTAAATCCTACATTCAGTCGTCTTTTAAAATATCAGATGATCTGGGTTGATTATCAACACACTACGTTAATTAAATCCTTTCCTCTCCCCACCAACAACAATAATCTACTGCTTTAGCTATGTACGTTCTGTATTTTAAATAATTACTATTATTTTATATTTATTTATTTAGTGTTCTGTCTGACGACAGGTCCATATGAACAGGATCCTTCCATCCTTTTCTCGGACTGGGACCTGTTCATATACGTTCTTGGCAGATGATCCAGAAGTGGTTTGCCATTGCCTTCTTCTGTGTGTGAATGGAGTAATTGTTGGGATGCCACGGAGGAAAACTCCGTGTTGCCTAGACCACGGCCTTGCCCAACACAAGTTATAAATTCGGGCACCGCCGGGAATCGAACCCGAGACCCCAGGATTACAAGGCCAGCGTTCTAACCGCTAGACCACCGTGGGGGTTATATAATTACTATAGTATAACAAAGTACGGTATTTGTATTCTCGCAGTTCTTAAAGATACGTAAATTGTATAAAATAGTTGCTGGCACTGGGAAAGAAAGACCATTGTGTTTGTTTACACACTGATATCACATTATCTGGAAGACGTGGACCAGTTGCCGAACACATTGGCCAAGACAATTGTTCTTTTGAGATTCTGAAACTGCAATTTATATATCTTTTTTACTTCCTGTGATTCTCAGGGAAGTCGCTACCCACCGGTTGCGAAACTATGGCATGAGGCATGAGGCATGTTTGGTAATTTGAAGTACTATTTGCCGTCGTCTGTGTCTTCCGTTTTGTAATCGTAAATTTTCCATACTGGAACTGAGTCGAAATTTTATAGCGCAGGCGCGTGAACGCCATTCGCCTGTTTTGTGTGTAACCGCTTCTTGTGAAGGTTGGCAGAAGATACTTCGTTCCAGCTTTAGTTTTTGCAAGAAGCAACAGTGTTATAAGAATTCGTGTGTTTGCTGAATTTCTTCTGTGAATGTAAGTAGTGCTCTGTAGCTTCAGTTACATGTATGAAGGTGTTAAGTGGATAAAATGGGACTTGTTTCCCGGCGTCCATGTAACGGTAATACAGGTTATATTGTATAGGCCTCGTCAGTCTTCTGTTGCTTGTTAACAGTCCGACGTGACGGATATCTTGTGGGTTTCATAAATATATTTCGGCGAATGTATTCATTTACATTTCATTTGACCATTCTAGTGATTCATTGCGAAGTCCGCGTCCACGAAAGTAAATGCTAGCTTCGGATTATTGTCAGTAGTAATAGTAGCCGCATCAGTTACTGTTGCGAAATGCGGTTTGTTCGATCTAGAAGCCTGTGACCCCGCGCGGTGGTTTCAGGTTCTGTGGATACACAGTTCGCAGAAACTTGAAACTTCAGCGAGGGGGCTTTCCTCCCTGCCTCCTTCTCGACGTACATACCAGTGAAAAGGAAATTGAACACGAAGTTGTAATGTGAACGAGTAGGGTGGTAGGACTGTGTTGATGTCTCCACACACGCAGACGTGGCTTTGGACTGCAATGCTTGTGGTCTCCGTCTGTCAAATTTAAAAGTTGTGTGATCACATGAAGGCGGAAGGTGACTGACTGGTCGGTCTGGTTCGACCTCGAAGTGCGGACTGGCGGTAGAACCGCCGGACGCCAGGGTTTCAGGTTTCGCTGGACAAGCAATCGGATCCAGACGCGTATGTAACCTCAGTAACGGTTTCCGCTCCAGTGACCAAGCTAGCCAGTCAAGGCGTGTTCCGCAAATCCTCAGGTTCAGTCCCAACTCTGTTTTTTGCAAACCGAATTAGTCATGAACCAGATTGCACCGAGTGTAGCTATTGTTTTAGTGCAGACGCACGCAGGTGGTGGGTGATGTGTTACAATTTTTATACTGAATGAGATTTTAGGTTCTCACGGCGGCGAATAAGAAGATGGTTGTCCTCTGCGTTGTAGCACCGTGTAGCCTGGTATTAATTTACCGACGTTTCAGAAGTGTTCCTTGCTGCCTTCATCATTGATGGAGACAGCAAGATCATCTGAAGGCAGCCATCTTAATTTCTCTGCTGTGGGTGAGAATGTGATAATTGTATTTGCACTGTGTGAGAAGGGGCGCTGGCCCTCAGAGAGCAGCTGCTATTATTTTACCGGTCCATAATTCAGAAACCGTGATACCAGTGCGCTGGTGACCAGATAATTGCGCACAGAAAAAAACCCATTGAATTTGTTCCCGAAACGTCGGTTTACTACGGTAACCAGTTAACGCGGCTGATTACTTTATAGTATTGTGAATGTGAGCATTCGTCCGTGTGAGTATTTTTCGTGTGAGCATTTATGACAGTGGGCTTTTTTCTGTGCGCAATTTCCGTGTGGGATTTTGTCGTGTGCGGTTTTGTCATTGAACTGAGTGTACTGTCCCTGGCGATAAAGCTGAAGGAACGTGACGTCAGTCCAAATGTCATTGCTAGTAAAGTTATGTTGGGCATTCATTCCCTTGCAGCTTAAACGTTGTTTGGCGAATTTTTTTTAAGGTTTTTGTGTTCGTATGTGCTTCTGATCCGCATTATTAAATTTTCCCAAAAAAAAAAAATTATAGAATAAAAAAAAAAGTGTGTCAGAAGTGGGATTCGAACCCACGCCCTCAGAGAGGACCAGAATTCTAAGAACCTATAGCATAGGCAAGGACGTGCCTTGAGTCTGGCGCCTTAGACCGCTCGGCCATTCTGACATATACTCAATTTGTAGAATAACACTTTACTTTACATGGTTATTACATATTTATGTTCTTAAGTAATAATTGTCGACTTGGATTTCAAAATGTAGTTGTTTTTCTACGAGTTTCTTGTCGAAGTACGAAGTAGAAGTCAACAATTAGAAGGGACATGAAGAAGTCTATCGTGAAGATTAAATCAAAAACTTTACCCGATGCATCGACAATGTTATGTGGACAACAATTTGTGCAGCTTCCAAAAATTGTATAAACATTACAAATCAGCATTTAGCCTGGATTATGCTCGTCTTTTGCACCATAAGACAATTTAAATGCGTTTATTTCCTATTTGGTTGGCTGTTCTGCACGAGCTGACTACAAGGTGTCGTTGAAAGGTTCGGTTAACAGATGGCAGCGTAAGTAGCCTAGAATTTTGAACTTCAACCGGAAGATGTCAGTATGTAGAATTACATTACTGCCATCTACAGAGAATTATTGAACTGTTACACGCTCGATATTGATTTTGCTGGCAAATGAGGGCGGAAAGGGGTAATGACTTTAACTATTTCTGCGTATATGCACCGGTTTGGGCTGGTTCTCGAAAAGTTTTTAATCGCTGACTTTCTTCTGGGGTTGTTGCACCGTGTAATCTATTTTGATTTGATTTGTTGTTATGTGAATTTCGAACGTGCGCATATTTTAGCCGAAACCACACAGTCCTGCGTCTGATTTTCCGTTTTGTGTTTCATATGCTCTCGATACAATGGCGTCCCGTGCCGAATGGACATTTTTTAGTCGAGAAGCGCGAATCTGACCGCGATGTTGTGGTTAGCACCTCGGAGATCCCGGCAGGTTTTCCTCCTTGTGGCTATGAAGTTTCTCTAAAAGAAAATTATGTTGTCCGTTCTGAGATGCTATGCTACATTTAGCCAGCCGTAAAGGATATTATTTCGTTTTTTTTAAGGGGTGCACAATATTCCATGGTCTGAGGCCACACTCAGCATCTTTTTTGAAAGCGCTGGTCAGACATATTCGCGCATTTCTCAGAAATTTTCGCTAACAGATTTGTTCAGTTTTCCAGTAAAAATTAAATATCTCGCTTAGGCGGAACCGTGTCTGTCTCGTTTCGCCTGGAAATTGGTATGAACTGACATCTCCCGTTGATTGCAACGGGCCGATCTTAAAAGAATCACAGGCGT